ATTACCCTGCCTGTGAAAGCACACAGCCACCTAGCCCTGAATGGCTCCACTCTGGTCACACTAAAATCTAGGCCCCATCACAATCTGTTTTCTAGGCAGGACATCTTCATTCCTTTATCTTTAAGAGGAAGGGCGGTTAATTTACATTCCTGGGAAGTCCTGCCTGGGCGTGTATTGGGGGTTATTAGGTAGGGTTTGAGGTTTTAGAAATGATAGTATGGTGGCTTTTGGCTTTTGGCTTCCCCACCCCCTTCCCCCAAGGCATTTTCCTGGCCTCTTTCTCCTCAGCTCCAAGGGCCCTTCTTTTGCCTCTCTAACTTGTTTCCTGAGTCCATTTCTTCTATGGATCACTTCTTCTACCTCTAAATAAACCTTTAGAAAGTCATTCCTGGTGACTTTCTAAATAAACCTTCTCTTATAGTTTGAGTCTTGGTTCTGAATTCTTTCTTAGCCAGAACTCAAGCCCCGAGGCTGCTGAATCGAGATCCAATCATGGGTGACAATCTGGTGCCGTTTCACTGCCAACAGATCCAAGAACTTTTTACCTGCTGGGCTTATTCCCAATATGGAAGTCATGGAACAGTTTGAGAAAGATAGTTACTGGAGCTCAGGAATACATTTGTGTGTGTGTGTGTGTGTGTGTGTATGTAGAAAGCAAATGAAGGATTTCTCTGTTTTTAAGACCTTCATACTTTTGGAATTATAAATGAAATACAAATTTATTCTGAGCACCTTCTATGCACTAGACATTGTTAACACCCTCTATTTTTATGTCACCCTTCTGTGATTCCTTGTGTATCACGACATGTCCCCATTCAACCCAAGCTGATATTAATCTCTCCTTTCTTTGTGTTGCCCAAACATTTATTAACACACTCTAACACATTTAGCTTTATATTAGAGGTCTTTAGAATTCAAGTCTTGTTTCCTCTGCACTATCTAACACTAAATCTTTCCTTAATTCCAATAATCATCAGGTCTTTGAATTGATATTTTATCAGGAACATTGACTCTCTCTCTCTCTCTCTCTCTCTCTCTCTCTCTCTCTCTCTCTCTCTCATACACACACACAGAGAAATGATGGTAAGTCATGTTTATTTTAACTTATATTATTCACATTCATAATTTCATTAGCTTTGATTCTGATTCTTTTTAGCTTTCATCTTTCTTGACTAAATATGATTTTTAAAACAGTTTTTTTTAAATCAAAGGTAGCACCCCACCTCCACCTCCTCCTCACCCTCCCTCCTTCAGCTCCACCATTTCAGTTGTGCTTATCTATACCTTGTTCCCTGTGTCCACCTGCAGGCTGAGGCCAGGTGCCAAGATGCCACTATTCTGGGCCATTGCTGGAGGTAATTGTTTCCAAATGTTCACTATCTTCGGCTTTGTGCCACCTTATCTCTCTCAGGCTTGAAGGGTTGACCCCTAATTTAAATATCTTAAGTATTTGAAATTCACTACATACGCATCCTAACTGAAATTCTGTCTTAAATTGTAAAAATTACATCCCCTCACCTGAAACCAATCGAGTTTTATTAACCAATGTAACCTAAATGAATTCAATACAAAGAAACAGAACAAGTAAAAATTACATCCCCTTTTAAGCTTCTGACTGCATTTTGAAGGCACTTTATCAATCTTGCCTATGGTAAACAATTAATATTTTGTTTTATCAATCTCTAGTGGCTTTGAATAATAAAATCATTTGAACTTCCATAATAATCTTATTAAACGCATCCTTGGTATGAGTAACTGGCTACAGATATACATGTGCCTTTCTAAGTCAAAAGATCAAATTCCTTCAAGTATAATGAATGGGAACTTTACCGAGGCTATTGGAAGTTCAGACTGTAGCATCAGACAATCTGCATTGGAGAATTCTTACCCTGATTTATAGGTTGTGTGACCTTGGGCAAGTTATTTTATCTCTCTAAATTTCAGTTTCGTTATCAATAAAAATAAGGAGATAAAAAGTAGTATCTCTTTCCTGTGGGTGTTTAAGCATTAATTGAGATAAGGCCCATCGCACTGGCCCATAGAAAGAGCTTAGTCCATGTAACCTATCATTGTGCGGCTAGGTCCTACACATAAACAATTCAGACATTGATTATTTCAGTGTTTTTCAGGTGTAGACAGAGGACCATGTGTATCAGAATCAACACAGGTACATTTAAAAATGCAGATGCCTGGGCCCCAACACAGACTTACTAAATCATGCTTTCTTACTCTGAGGCACAGGCATCTGTGTTTTATACAACTTCCCGGAAATATGTTGATGAGAGGCATTCTGGACTGTCCCAGGGCTGCAGGCAGATGTTTTACCTGCCGCCATCTGGGTCCCGGGGTGTTCTGTGTGAGCTGTGCTGATTAGGAGACGGGGCAGGCAGCGTCATACACTTGATTGTGTGCCAGGTGACCTGCTAGTCCAAATTTAAGAAAGATCTTAAAGAGCAATTTAAGGTGGAGAGGTAATTAGTGTTGATTCACAGTAGCTATATTAGTCCTTGTCTCACATTCCTTTGTGAATCTTTTCTCACATCGGATTTAGGCAAACAGTCAGAGACGTGAAGAAAAAAACATGAAACAGGGAGGTAGACATGCTCTCCGTTAGAGCTGCAAGGTTAACTGACTTAGAAGGCAGAGGATACAAGTGGGGAATCAAAAAGAAAAAGAATGATATCCAAGAAAGGGATTTTTTTTGGTGCGAACTACTGCACATCTTTTGGTTCTCTGCTTTTTGTCCCTTGCGGCAGGGTGTGGGTGTGTAGGGGGCTTGGTCTGTGTGAACAGATATTTGTTGACAACAGGCCAGTTTCAATTCAGTTTGAAGCCATTAAATATTTAGTTTTGTTGGCATCTCAGAAAGGCAGTAATTGTTCTGTTTCCCTGGCACATTTACCCCATGAGGCAGGTTGCAACTTGCGCGGTTTGGCCAAGCCTTCGTGGCGTCTCGAGGGAGAGGGCCATCAGAGAGTGTCATTTTGAAAGCAAATCTGCCTCTAATACACAGAGGCCCACAGAGGTGGCAGTTGGTCAGCTCCTTCCCCTGAGTCCCCAAAGTGGGGGCCTCGGAAAGCTCTTGCACAGGCATCTTTGGATCCTGTGGACAGGCCCGCCCTTCTGGGGAGCTTTGACTAGTTGTGATGGGGTGCACTTCTCTGTGTGAGGAAGTTGGGGTTTAATGGGGGATGATTCCACAGGTTCCTGAACAGTCTTTCACAAATGGTGGAGCAAACTTTTTTACCATCACCAGAGAGTGAGTAAGAAGCATGTTTGTTTGTTTGTTTTATTAATACTCACCTGAGGATATTTTTTTTCCATTGCTTTTCAGAGACAGTGGAAGGAGAGAGGGAGGGCGAGAGAAAGAGAGAGAGAGAGAGAGAGAGAGAGAGAGAGAGAGAGAGAAAGAAATATCAGTGTGAGAAAAAGACATTGATGTGCTGCCTCCAGCACGCCCCAACCAGGTATGTGCTCTTGACCAGGAATCGAACCATTGATCCTTCAGTGCATGGGCCGATGCTCTGACCACTGAGACACACCAGCCAGGGTGAGGCATGTCTTTAATGTCCTTCAGACCCCAGTTTAGGTGCTTATTGGCTGGGTGACCTTAGGCAGGTGACTTAACCTCTCTGAGCCTCATTTTGCTACCAATGCTGTGAAGATTAAATGAGATATGTGAGAAAACCCTTATGCAATTCTGGCCCACAAGAAGGGCTCAGGAAATGGCAGCTGTGGCCTGTGCCAGTGGTAGCAGCATTGCTGTCACTGTGCTAAACCTGAGGACACGGAAAACACTTCCCAGACTTCAATGCAGGGAGAATTTAATCCAGCGCCAACAGGATTTGACAATGGGGTCTAGCATAGGCAGGTTAAGTAACTCTCTTCACCTTGAAAGACGGTTGGGCTTGTTCAAATAGATTATTCAGAGGAAGTGAATTCTGAAATTCAGTTGTAAACAACATGGCCAAGCCTACAAGTCAATCTGTAAAGATGAGTGATACGTATTTAAGGACCTGAAGCAGAAATTCAGAAATACAGTGGGGCCTTGACTTACGAGTGTCCTAACGAGTTTTTTGAGATACCAACTGTCTCTCTGCCGATTTTTTGCATTGAGTTGATAGAGTAATTTGAGTTAATGAGCTCCTTAACGAGCTCCTTAACAAGCTCGGAACGAATTAAACTTGTAAGTCAAGGCCCCACTGTATAAGGGAACAATGAATTCTAAACTTTGTGATTCATCAACTGCACGGCAGCCCTCAGGAGAAAGAAGATCAAATATTTGCCCAGGCCCTAGCTGGTTTGGCTCAGTGGATAGAGCATCAGCCTGCAGTCTAAAGGGTCCTGGGTTTGATTCGGTCAAGGGCACATGCCAGGGTTGAGGATTCGATCCCCAGTAGGGGGCGTGCAAGAGGCAGCCAATCAATGATTCTCTCTCGTCATTGATGTTTCCATCTCTTGCTCCCTCTCCCTTCCTCTCTGAAATCAACAAAAATATATTTTTTAAAAAATAATTTATTTAAAAAAATATTTGCCCAGAAAGTTTACAAAACAATACTTTGGAAATAAAAAGGATTATCTTCAGGTTAACATTGCTGTAGGGAAGATGTGCTTTTTGGTCATATTAATATTTCATCGCCTAATGTCACATACAAAAAAGCGAATGATTCATAAATGTCTTTCTCTGATGTTGCTCCAAGATGTACATATGCCCTCAATTAAAGGGGAGGGGGATTTTCACTTTTCCACCATCACAGCTGTGTCTATTCCTCGTCCCCATGGGTGAAACCAACGCACCTCACCACATTAAAATCATTTTAAATTCACGAGTAAGATTAGACTACTGAAGAATAATTAGTGATTTCCAGAAGTAAATGATATTATTCAAACCAATGGAAACTATTATTCAAATATTTAAAAAAATAAGCCAACATTTAATAATACAAAATTATTTATTAGTAAAAAAAAATTAGAATTTGTTCATTATACAGAAAAGTAAAACCATTAAATGTTCCCTACAAAACTTCACTGGAAGCGTACAGAGTAGGGGTAGTGCCATGACCAGGTCTGAGGACTTCATCTCAATGCCTAAGTCAGCGCCAGAAAATGCAAAATGGTGACCTGTAACCTGCACCTGTGATGTTTTGTTAACAGGTTGCCTATTTCAAGTTCTCATTTGGCGCAGCAGAAAGACAGACGTATGCATGCCATGCTCCAGGTTAATGAAACTCTATGAGCTGTAGCAGACATCACAGTTTGTTTCCCGCAGGTAGAAATCACTGCCTGCTGCTGCTGAGGGATCCAGGTTCACACAGTCCGTGCCCGGACAGGGAAAGTACTCGGATGCTCCGAGGGTGGCCAAGTGTTCTGCCTCGCAGGACACACAGTAGCAGCCTGAGGTCGGGGCTGGGAAGAAGCAGTCGTATTGGGCGTGGGAGGGCAAGTGAGGGTAGGAGTAGTCTTCTGAGGGATAGCCACAGTTACTGGTGTCCAGAGAAGGGGTAGGATTGTAATTCTCCGGAGTATACGAAGGTAGATGAGCCGGCGAGTAACTGAAGTCTAAGGAGCCAGAGAGAGTGGAGGAATCTGAAGATGACCCTGGGGCCTGGGGAAATAAAAACCAAGGAACAAAGAGCTTGAGAACTTAGACAGGATTAAAAGGACTGAAAAGAGTGGATTTAATAACTCCGAGTAAGAACATTAGGGGTAAAGAAACAAAAACACCCAACCCAACCCAAGTCTGCAGAAGTAATTTTATTTGCTGATTGCGTGATTTCATGACACCACATTCTGTATTTACCTACTTCTTTCCCAACAATAAATTGCCTTGCTTCACTGGCTTCCTTTGTTGTAACCATACTTTAGAGGATGCTTTGTCCTTAAACCACATAATCCCATTGTGCTTCAAGTCACCTGCTCACCAGCCCCTGCTGTGGGCCACAATATAAGCTCTGGGCACAATGTAAGCTGCAGGTGGCACCATGGACGGTTCTCCACACCCTTGGCTGTGAACACACTCAGGTAGAACTGGGACCTTCAATGATCCAGTGTCTGGGAGACTCCAAGACGTGCAACTACTCTTGTATTCACTAAAGTTTTGTCCCTTGATGAGCAAGGTACTTTTCTCTTAAGCAGGTCTACAGTTGTTACTGAGGAAGCCAAACTTGGAAGCTGGGCAGGAACTGGGTGACTGGGGGCCCTGTATGCGTATTCTGTGGAGTTCATTTCCCATTCCCTTGAAATTTAGTCTGATACCTACACAGACATTTGACAAACTGAAATAAAAAATGATTTCCATCAAAACATGTACTTTTACGGTTTAAAAAAAAATCTGAGTGTCTACACAACTTCTAAAACAACTGGTATCCTACTAAAGCAAACTTTACGCATTTTAAATAACCTATTTTTAAATGTTTGCGGTTCATCCGGAATGGACCATCCACATTTTTCAAGTATTAGAGCTTCATTTTTCCTAACCATCTCAAACTCAAATGGCTCTTGTGCCTAAACCAGACCAAAAGAACCAGTTAATAGAGTCAATTCAATGTCAAAATTAAAACAAAACGCACTTATCAAAATGACAGTTTGGTACTGCGTAGATGTGGCCTTGATTCCATTTTCAAGAACCCCTGAATTCAAGGGCCGTTTTTTAAATCAATGATTTCCAATTAGGAGATGTCTTAATTTTAAAGTTTAAAAACATCGCATGTATATTGCCCCACAGTAGCTTAGAAAATGTGTGGTTATTTCTATTTCCAATGAATTGTGAATGGTTCTTTGCTTGCTTCCTGGATGATTTCCTTGTTGACAGTGTTTGTATGCTTTCTCAGGAGACAATGCAAACATTCTCATAACGCATTATAACCTATATCATAAGCAATAAACAGGTTTTGTTAAGAAGTGCGCTAATTACCAGGCTCTGGTTGAAGCAGAAGGGGGCGGCCTGGAAGCTGTCCGGGAAGTAGTGTGGAGCACTTTGCGTGGAATCGAGCAAAGGGTCCAGGTGTGTCTCTGTCTGAAGGTAGGAATCCAAGATCTGGTCGAGGTAGCTTGGGTTTTCTTCACAAGAAACACAACTGGGAAATTCTCGGGGTTGAAAGTAATTAGGTGTGGAAGAAACTGGTTCAGGTTCAAAATACACTAGAAGAGAAAGGAAAAAGATTCTTTTCTGTTTAAAATTTGCAGTTACGCATTTGAATGAAGTTCTATGCTACATTCTGAATATCTGCTATGCCTAAGGGGAAAGGGGGCTTATGAAGTTCCAGAAAGGTAAAAGGTCAGGCAATTTGGATTTTTTAGTTGCCTTAGCTAATTCAAGTTTCATTGGAATGCATCTGGTTAATAATATGAACACTGGCTGTGAATGTGGCTAGGGCTAAAATAAAAGGATGGGGATCCAACCTGACCATGAAAGCATCCACATTCAGCCCCTACCTGCAGTTCATGTCAAGCACTCGTCTCTGAAGCAGCCAGAGTTGTTAGGAAAACTGCTGGTGTTGTGGGAAATAATTCTCTTGATTTAGGGTTAATACATTCCTACACTTTTCACACTTACTAAGTTACTTAAATTCCGAGGAGTGATGTAAATACCAAGCAAGTTTTAAAATAGAAACCAGAACATACAGGACAAATTAGTATTACTTGCTCTAAGTTACACAAAGCAAAAATATTTTCTTAGTGTTAACCTGATAATGGAATTAAAATAAGTTGTTAAATACCAAACAAGAATATTTTTGAAACCGTGACTCCTTTTTCATTTTAGGATTAATAGGCCTGATTTGTGGTTATTAATCTAAAAAACGCTCAAAGAAGAGAGGTTTAGAGTATGTCCATCAATGGGATTCTTTGAAGTCTTAAGGTTCCTTTGAGGTTAAGTGAAAGTGGCAAATTCAGTGGTGAGCTACCATAAGCAGGTTTCCTTGTCTATGAACTCATTAAACTCTTAGCTGTTGAGTGGCGCAGGTAGGAGTGTTTATGTAGTAGACTTATTGGTATTGGGCTGAGAAAACTTTAAGCTGTTTGAACTGCTTTCTGGGAAGACAGAAGGGGAGGGAAGCCCCTGTCGGCTAGAGGACCTCAGAGTGTTCTGTAGTCCATCTAACGGCAGGAGACAAAAGACAAGTTTCTAAAAACAATTCTGATCTTTTCATCTAGTTTAGTTACGTGGAGATGGGGAACTAGAATGAATGAGAAGAACAGACTCAGGACAGAGTAGATAGGAAAGAAGAGCCAGTTCAGAAAGAAGAAAACATTTGCACTTGTTTGCTTGCGGGGCTTCCATCTGGAGTCACTGTGCCTTTTTCACCTTCTGATTGGTTGGATTGCAATTAAATGGTGGTGCCTATCTTAACCCCTGAATCAAGCATTGAAAGACTTTCGAGATGCACTTTTGAAAGAGTGTTGGAGGGAACTGTAATGCTGCTGTACTGACCTGCAGACGGTGGTGTGACTGGATCTGAAAGGTGGACACTGTTCCCTCCGGACAGCTGCCAAAGCAAGAATACAACCATCAAGCAAAGAGAAATGAGAGCTCTACACGGGGAAAGCTAAGACATTTTGATGTGAACTGTGTTGCCTTCTGCTCTAAGGTAAGCTAGATTCTTTCTTCTAAAAAAAGTTACAAGACAATCGATCTGATATGTATTTTTTAGTTTTAATGTTTAGGTTTGCTTGGGGATTTTTTCTAATATCAGATTCTCCCACTTAAAATGTAAAGGCTATTTATTCATTTTGATAAAAATTTAATTTATATGATTTTGATATACAAGAAATGTAACAATTCAAGAAAACCCAGTAAAGAGCCTTTCAATTAAATCATTCAATATGAAATTAATTTAATCCCAACTTTTTATGATTTAGTCAATCATTTCCTTCAAAACTTTTATATAATATCTGGCTACTTAGGGATTTCCTCAAAGGACACAACTCCTAACTTTGTTAAACCTGGATAGTGCAAAATATTCGCATGATCTTACCAGCTATGAAATACTAAAAATTATATAAAAATATTTTCTTTTCTTAAAGCTGTAGTCATTGAGTTGGATTCCATCTAGATTCTAATTAATGGTCAGGAAATATTTCAACTCTGTATGTTTTTTACTCATTTTTATAAAAGTTGCTTTTTTTCACTATTATAAATACTTGAAGTTTATGAGATTGTCCCTTTTAATCATTGAAAGTAAAGCAGCCTGTATCTTCTAGTTGAATTGATAATTTTACCAACCGAGTAATTTAGGATTTGTTATTATTATTTCTTTAGGTTTCAGGTGCTGGCTTTAACGTTTAAAGGGACCAGCGTTGCTCTGTGATTCACCGCACCTCTCTCTCGGGTTCCAGGGTGTGCTCACTCCCACACACAGAGCCACTGGGAGAGCGCCGCCAGCCACGGCTGAAACAGGAGGTGGTGTTAATTTTGAAAGTGATCCATGCTGTAATGTCATGAACCAGGAAGCTGGAATCCTTCACCAGCTTTTCATGCAAATATTTGGCTGCAGCTTGAGCTAAAGGACTTGAAAGGAGTGGGTTTAAAAACTGCTTCATTGTAGGGCTCTCATTAACCCCATTCCTGCCCCCCGACTTGCCCCATGGTCTGTTTGTCTGCCTCCCCACCTTATCTCCCTCAGGTATGTTTACAATATCCTACTTGATATTATCTTTCTAGTCATGGGTTCACTTTCTACTTTCCTCCAAGAGTACAAAGAAAGGCACCCTTCTCTTAGATTTCAAACAGCGCAAAAATCCACAATCTACAATTTAAAAAACACATCAAGGCTGTTAAGAAATTAATGGTTAAAAAGGGGTAAATTATATATTTCGATAAGTACTAGCTCAAGTTCCCCTTTATCCTAAAGGTAAAAGAAGTGTGTGTGTGTGTGTGTGTGTGTGTGTGTGTGTGTGTGTGTTCGCGCTTGCGCTCATGCTCCCTGGGCTGTTTGCAAATTGATCTGGCCTGGCCGAAATCAGTTTTTTTAAAAGTCAAATTTACAAATACTGCACGCGCGCATTTCTCCTGGCACTGTTTGAGACCCTGATATTTATCTCAGTCTATAACTTCCATTCACAATTGCCTTCTTGAAATTTCAAATTGTGGATACTACTGATTCTATGACAACTAAAGATACATTTCTTCCTGCTTTGTATATTTTATAAAATTAACTCTCTCCTTGGCTTAAAGCTCCCTAGAGCTATCCTTTAACCACTGAACAACTTGGAGATCATCTCTGTGAAGCCAGAAGTCTACACCTAGAAGCAGGCACTCATTATCCCCTGGTATCCGCCCTGCTTGCCTCCTGAGCATACCTTCACAGCTTTCCTGGAATCCCAGATCCTTCTGATGGCTCCCACGGAGGGATTGTACGTCTGGCTCTCGTAATTAAATCATCTGTGTGGTGCTACGCCTGCCTACGAGGGCATGGGCTGATGTACTATGCAAGCAACCTCTGCAAGGCACTAGTTTGGAAGTACTGCTTTATTATTTATTGGGGTGGGGGGGGTGGGGGGAGGGGGATTGAGAAAAACTTAGATAAGTCAAACATCTCCAGGGAACAGATCCTGGTTAGATACACAAGTGAAATGCTTAACCCTTGCCTTCCTTCCTGCAGCTAGCTAACAGGGGAACAGTGGCCAAACCAGCCTGCAAGAGGCCAACAGCAATAAAATCGCCATGGACTTCTCCAGGTGTAGCTGAAGCAGAATTCTACCATGCACTAAAGCTCTGTAATGAAAGATTACATTTTGTTATGAATGTCTTGATGATTTTTTTCCCTCCAGAAGCATTTCCCAGCTCCCTTGATCCCAGTTTTATTAATTTTATAATTATTTCTGAATTGAAGGGGTTGGTGGTTGAGGTTACCAGACTCCTGCTCAGCACAGCTGGATCTGCATAAAGATGAATTTAGGGAACTAATAGGTGAGAAGTGGTGTGTGTGTGTGTGTGTGTGTGTGTGTGTGTGTGTTTAAGAATAAGAAGACCTTGGTTCTATTTTTAGCTCTGTCATCAGTGACTGCAAGACTTTGAACTTCAGCTGTAATAGAGGCATTCAAATCCCTGATCTACTTACCTCCCCTGGTTATTGTAAGAACTAAATGAGATGCGGGTGCAAACAATGCTTTAAAAGAACCACTGGAAAGCGCTGTACAAGCAGAAGGAGGTTTTATTGTGCTAGCTGAAATTTTGCATGTAGGTACTAACTTCGCCAGCAAATTTAAAATGTGTGCTCCACGTGCCATATCACAGCAAGCTCACACCTGAACCTCTAAACTCTGAGCAAAGGGATCAACATTACTGGAAAGCTGGCTTTCAAGCCTTGGTTGTAATTTTACTGTAGTTGCTTTTCACAAATAATAATGAGAGCTAACATTAACTGAGCACTTACTCCATGAAAAGCTCTCCTCTAAGTGCTTTATATGCAATAACCCATTTAACCTCACAAAATCTTAGTACCTCCAGTTTAAAGATGAGAAAACCGAGGCAAGAGAGGCGGAATAACTTGCTCAGGGATACACACCACAGAGGCGCTGAGATCTGAACCCAGTCCACTGGCTCTAGAATCTGTGCTCACCACCCCTCCATCATTTGCCTCTTCCCACAAAGGCCCATTTCATGAAGTTGTGCGTGGCACACCGAGAGTACCAGGCACAACACCTGTTGTGGGGCAGATGCCAATCAGCTGGAGACAGCAGCAATGCCGATCCTGGCAATATGGGTCCCAGCTGCCAGGTCCTACACACACATCTAAACCAACCCACAAACAATTGTACAATCACAGGCGCTCAGTGACGAAGTTCCCTTTCTTGGAGGATAACCCGACCTACTTTCTTTGGTTTTGCCACTGCCCTGAGAGCTCCTGGCAGGACTATCTGATTAGAATGTATATACGGGGCAGGGGACTCTTGAGTGTCCAGATTCATCTCGCGATAATTACGTCTTAATGAGGTGGTTCTACATTCCAAGCTGTCTCCCCTGAGGAGACATGGCCCCTTTCTGTTGGAAACCTTTAGGGACTATTGATTAAAGATAAATGAGCTCAGAGGCTGGGTTCCAGAAGAATGGGGAGGGAGGGGGTCTGTTCCACAGGGATTCTATCCTTGAAGGGCTTCCTACTCTTCTGGGGGAGATGTTCTTTGCATTTGGGAGGGCACATCCACTGTCTTCCTACCAGAGTAACAACCTACTTACCTGCTGGCTACTCCTCTCCCTACACAGGATCAGCAAGCCCTTCCTACTCAATTAGGGTCCGTGAGGGATGGGCTCCCCAAATCCTGAGCCCCTCTACAGACCACAGCTGCTCTTTGTGGCTTCCTGTGGTGAACTAGGATGAAGCCGGGCACCAAATTTATGAGACCAGCTGAGGAAGGCAGGTCTGGGGATGGTGCCTGGGGCCTGGGGTGGCCTCTACACCTTCCCAGATGCAGGTTGAATGAGGTCTAAGAAGAGTCGGGAGTAAGTGAAGGGTTTATGCTTACGGTTCCCCCCGAGGCTGCCTGGTGAGCCCTTCTCTGCTGCAGCAGCTCCTTCACCGTGATCTTCACACGGACACCTTGATACACTTTTGGTTTTTCTGGGGAAAGACAACCGAGTCAGTGGTCAAGTGTGGAGTTGGGTGTCAGGCTGGGGTCTGGAGGTCCTCTTTATAGACCGTGGCATCTGAGGCCAGGTTTTTAGGGTTGGAGAACACATAGAGAATGCTACAAGACAAGTGGGAAAGAAACTCTAATTGTCAAACTTGAAGGGGTGAAGGAAGAGAGGCAGGAACATATGGAAATCTGTTCGGCCGCCCACCTCAGGTTGGGTCCTATGCCTAGACCAATAGCACACAGGATTTTCTGTGCGGGGATGTGGAGACCAGGCCAGGGGAGCTCACCATCTTGGCTAAATTGGGGATACCTGGGCCCAGCCCGCTGGCCTGGGAGAGGGTATTATGGACCAGAAAGGGACCTGGCGCTGGTGCAGGGATGCTCTGTGACCTGTGGCGGCCGACCTAGCCCACCCCACTCGGATACACCCAGTGGTGTGCAATCGGAGTCCCTTCCTTCTCCACCAAGCCAGGTGTGGCTTCTGGGGAGGCTCCGACCTCTACCTGCCCTTGGTCTGGAAGCCAGCGGGGCCGGCTGTGAGGTTGGGCGAGCCTTGTCCTTGGGCCGGCGAGAGACCTGCCAGTCTGACCCCAGTAGAGGGCTCAGGCGCTGGGAACTCCGTCCCTCCCTTCCACCGATCATTTTCTTCTGCCTCCCCTCCCTCGCCCCCTTCCTCCGCCTTCCCCGCTCTCCATCTTCTCCTCCCTCCTCAAGTCCCGCTCCTGCGCTCCCCATCCTCCCGGCTCCCCCCACCCCTTCCCTTTCTGGGGCGGCATTTCTCCGCCGCGCGCGGAGGCTCGGAGCCGAGCCCGCGCAGCGCGAGTTCCGGGAAAGCGGTGCGGAGACCCCAGGGATCGCGCACTCGGCTGGGAGGCCGCGATCGGAAGGGGCCGCCCCGGAGCGGCGGGCCCGGCGGACAGCCCCCGGGCGGCCGGGGCCAGCCGCGCGCGCCGGCGGGTCGGCCGGAGGGAGCCCAGCGCGCCGGGAGCGGGCAGCCGCCGCCGCCGCCCCGGCCCGGCGGAGCCGCAGTGAGTAGGTCGGGCAGGGCTGTCAGGTCGCGCCGGGCCGGGCAGGCCGGGCTGGGCGACCGTTCCCGGTCGGCAGTGACCGCCGGAGCCCGGCGCGACTCCGACTCCGACCTCCGCTTTGGAGTGAGCGCCCGGGAGTCGCCGGGGAGGGACCGAGCCCGCGCTCTCGGCGGCCGCGCGGCCAGCCCGGGCGCCTGGCGACAGTGCCAGGCCGCCAGCGCCTCGCCTGGTCGTTGCGAAGACCACAACGGGTCGGCAGGGAGCCCCCAGGTCGGGTCCAGGGAGCTAGGGGTTCTCCCCAGGAAAGGAGGGTGCGCTCTTTGTCGCCCGGACCCAGGGAATCCGGCGCCCCGCCCGCAGGACGTGGGGGCCGCGTCCTCCCTGCGTCCGGTCTCTCCAGCGATTTCCTCGCCGCGTTTGCGGCTCCGCGGGCTGCGGGCGCGGCTCGGGGTCGCCCTGGGGCCGCCGCAGTTGAGCCCTGTGCGCCCCGCACGCCCCGCACGCCCCTGCTCGCGTCCCGGGCTCACCGTGAGCCTCTAGCTCCCCCCGCCGCCGCTTTTGGGCGCGCAGAATCCGGGCCGCGAAGTCACCGGGTCACAACTGTGGCAAAATGGAAGGGCGGGTGGGGGGCCGGGATCGGGGTACGCAGACGTCCGCAGCAGCTAACTGGGCGTCTGGGCCTCTGCTCTGGGGAGCAGGCGCCGAGTGGGAGCGGCCACAGTGTGGCCCGTGCCCTCTCCGGATCCCCGGCACACCCTTGTATGCTCTGACTTTGTGCCTCTCTGTTCTGTGCAGGAAAAGCGGTGGAAATACACCCAGACCAAAATGCCCCTGGCCCGCGTGATCCTACCCCGGAGAAGCAGCTGAGTTACCCGACATGCTGGTCAGCAGGAGCTGGGTCTGTGGCTGGAGGCAGCAGCTGCAGGGACTCAGCGCCTGGGAGGACTCCTGTGCAAGGAGAGAAGCAGAGATGCAACATTTTTAAAGTTTCACAAAGCATCTAGCTGCATCCAGGTTCCTGGAGCAGAAGACAAACAGAATTAATGTTTTATACCTTCGGGTATAGGTTTGAGTTTTTTCCCCTTCATGCCAAGTATTTAAAACCTCTAGAAACCCATGATTTGACAATCAATGATTGCGCGGTAGTTTCAATTTGAATATTCAAAGGCTTAACAAAATGGACTATCTTCTGCAGAAATCCTGTACACAGGCACCCAGCAGAGAGTCCAGAGAAACAGGGAATGAGACCCTTTTGGGTCCTGACCCTTGCTTTTACTCTATTTTGAGCATTTTGCCCACCTTCTCCCAGACAGAGCAGGAGTGCTCGAAGATGCTCTGTATTTCTGCCTCAAAGGCAGCTCCAGGAACCCTGGGTGACTTAGGCTGTCCTTTATGTGCACCTGAACCAGACTGGCCGGCCAGACGGATCCCCACATCCAAAATCTCTATTTTAAGGGGGAAATCTTACATTTCGGGGAATGGACATGACAGCCAGTAGGTGTGGCATAGCAAGGTGTCACTCTGGGCCCAGCTTGCAGGCCAGAGATCCAGCAGAGGCCTTCGCTCTGCTCCTTTTGACCCCACCTGGCCATGTGCAGGCTTCCCTGCCCTTTTGTCTGGGCCCCAAACACTGGGGTTTCGGCCCAGAATGCCTGCCCGTTAAGACCCTTTGCTTCCCCTAACATGCTGGGCTGCCCATGGCCTGGCAGCCTGGAGATTTTCTGAGGCTGGTGGTTTCTTCAGGGTGAAGTCCCCTCTTCTCCCCGTTTTCCTCCCTCTGGAGCATCCCTGCCGGTTTGCTGCAGGAGCTAATTTTAGGAATGACAATACGCTTGGCTCCTGCTCATTTTAGCTGAAAGGACATGATGTACTCAAGCTTCACACTTTGGGGTGAGAGGTGGGAAGGAGGTGGTCCAGGCCCGAGCCCCTCACAAATGACCTGGGACTGTGTTGGGTCATCTTCTCCAAGCACTTCCGGTGCCTCTTCCGTGTGACTGGGAAGCTTGAAGGCAGCCGTGGTTCAGGGAGGGAGAGAGTGCCAGGCCCAGCCCTCTCCTAGCCCCTGAGGGGAGGGGAGGCACTGGAAGACAGAAGCAGGGTGGGAGTCCCGTGAGGCCAGGCCAGGCGAGGGGCCTGGGTCTCGGCTGTGTCCCCCGAGTTCTCTGAAATGCCAAAGTGGCATTGAGCCCCAAAGGGCATGAGAAAAACATCTGGATGCCCTCAAATGTGTCTATACCGGGTGGAGCATAAGGCAATGGGACCAGGGCGCTCTGAGTGACAAGACACCGGAGTCTGTGATGGGTAGGCATTGCTTGGCAGCTCAAACCTTGTCTCTGGGGAGGGGATTAGGACTGGGAGCACCTGAGGTGGCACTCGGCACCGGAGGGCAGAACAGCTGGAATCTGTAACGGCTTCTACAGCCTCTTTCTCCGCAGGCCCCTGCTGTGTCCTGAGTTTCCCTGCCGGGAGTCAGGCTGGATTCCAGACTCAGGAGCAGGGGAGAAGAATCCAGAGCCTCAGTTCCTATCTCCAGCCCTGCCCTGCCCTGCCCTGCCCTGCCCTGCCCAGCACTGCTCCTTCTTCAGGAATGGCAAACAGCTGGGAATTCGGGACGGTTTCATCCTCATAGCTTTTCCATTATTTCTTTTGTCATCTACCTCTTTGTTTCACACTTATTTTTTGGTTTGCTTTTAAAAATCTTCCTCTTTGTCGTTTGGCCTTTTTGTTTATTTTCTCCCCTGAATATCTTTTTGTCTTTCTTCCTGTGGCTGCTTTCCTCCATTTCTTGCCTGCATTGATTGTTTTCCTCTCTGGCTCCCTGTGTGTGTCTGTTTTCCCCTGTACTGAGGTGCTGTCTCACTTCTTTTTTTGTTTTGTTTGTTTGTTTATATATAATACATTTTTATTGATTTCAGAGAGGAAGGAAGGTGAGAAAGATAGAAACATCAATGATGAGAGAGAATCATTGATTAGCTTCCTCTTGCAGGCCCCCCACTGGGGATGAAGCCCACAACCCGGGCATGTGCCCTGTCCAGGAATCGAACCTGGGACCTCCTGATTCATAGATCGATGCTCAACCACTGAGCCATGCCGCCTGGGCTGCTGTCTCACTTCTATAGGCTCAGTCTCCTTCCTCCTTTCCTTCCATGTGGAGATGGACAGGGATGGCAGGAGCCCACAGGTTCCCTTGGCAACATCACTGAAGTTGATGTTCATGTTTGGTTGCCCTGCGGAGAAGGCAGGCAGTGCTGGTGAGAGATGAGCTCCTTGGAAGTCACCGAGTCTGTAGGGACAGTGATGAGCTCTGTCCTTTTGCCAGGAGGCTGCTGCCTGAGCTATGGCAGCGTTCTGGGGGCTTGAGGGCTGGCACCTGCTGCTGGGATAGAGGTTCCTGGGCTGTTGCTGCCCAGCAGCTTCAGACAACTGGGTTTCCTCAGGCCTGGGCCCTATTTTGAGGAAAGAAGTCCCCATTTTTTAGCCCAGTATTAAAGGATTTTAGTTTCTGCTGTTTCTATAATGGCAGACCCCAACCCACATATTCAACAGCCAAACACCAGGCTTGTGGGCATAAGGGAAAATCCTTTCTAGACATGTCCCGCGACTCTCTTCTAGACCTGCCGTGCCACGAAGCCAGGAGCCACCAGGTCTGCCTGGAGACCCCAGAGAGTTGGATGTTCCTCACAGGAGACCTTTTTAAAAATTGTCATCTATTGAGTGTCGATTGGATGCCAGACACTGTCTTGTATAGTCTCACCATCTCACAAAGGAGGGAACAAGCACAGACGGGAAAGCAACATGCCCACGGTTATTGAGCATAGACACGGCAGGATTGGGACTCAAACTGGGATCTGCCTGAGGCTGAAGCCCTTCTACCCGATCTTTTACAGCACAGGCTTTCAAACCTTCAACATCAGCTCACAATGAGAAATCCATTTTGCTTGTTCACTTACTATATCTCTAGCAATACTTCCATATTTATAAAACGAACCTTTCATGAAACAGTGTACACCTATGTACACAAGACACTGAACATTTCTATTCCATTCCACCTTTTCCATTTCATTCTATTTATGAAAAGCCTATGTTGGTTGGGAGTCACTAAGATAGTTTAATGGCCCACTTATTCGTAGGGACGAACGTTGGAAAGATACTGCCTACAGGACATGCAAACACACGTGTGTGTGTATGCATGTGGAAGTGTGGTGGTGTGCTGTGTGTTTCACTGACGGGTGTGTGAGGAGACTAAGGCAGTGCAGCAGACTGACTAGAGCAGCAGTCGCCAACCTTTTGGACCTCACGGACCACCGGTTGGTGACCGCTGGACTAGAGAGTATTCTGTAAACACAGGACTCCAGAACCCTAAGAAGAGACTGGCTAGAAGGGAGGGTGAGCTGTTAATTATGACAATTGGTTTGTGCTTCTCAGACTGGGAACTCTTCCCTCTCCCTGGGGCACGGTCACCTCTGGGGTGTCCTGAAATAATTTTAGTGTCTTAATACAAGGCTGAAAAATAGTGTGGAGTTTCAACAGGCTTTAACAGGTTCACCTGCTTAAATATATAGCACAGGGTCCTGATGTTTAGATGTTAGAAGGGATCTTTTTGGTACCGAGGGACTAAGTCTTTTGCCAGCGTCCCTGCTGGTGGTCATCCAGCCCCAGGCTTCCTCCATTGCTTGCTGGGCTGCTGGCCCCCCATAGACGAGTGGTGAGGAAATGGAGGCTCGCTATTTATCAGGCAACCTGTCCTACTATTAGATTGCTTTAAATATAATGATCATTGATCTAGTCAACAATCAATTAGGTATTAACTGAGCACCAACTATGTACCAGGCATGGTATCAAGTACCAGGAAAGCAAAGATAAGTAAGTCCTGCTTTCTGTCATCAACTGCTCTGTGAGTGAGTAACATGGGATAACTCTTTCCCACTTCCACACTCCTGCTTCTCCACCAGGGCTTTGTTTGGTCATTCATTGCTTCATTCATTCATTCATTCATTCATGCATGCATTCAATAAGCATATACTGATTATCTGCTCTGACCAGGACCAGTGCTAAATTTGAAGAAGTTATCATGCCCACTCCCCACCCAAGGCTTTTGTTTTTGTTTTTGAGGCTCCCCATCTGTAGTTTTTCTAGTTCTTCATATATAATTTCCAGATCTCTGGGTCACTGAGCTCAGAAACCCTTTTGCTTGTCATTGACCTTAAAGTCACTCAGCATGCAGAATAATGGGAATAGAATACATTTCTCTTTAAAGTTTCAAATTAACTGTTTTAACTGTATTTTAGCAGTCTTTTATATGCACACGACACTGCAGAGCATTATATTTTCCCCACAAAGTAGGAGATTGAACTCAGACATGAATATGAAAAGACTTTCAGTACAAGGAAAAGGGGTTTTATTCCCTCCAAATTTGACTACAGCTCTAACCTCTATCAATGCAAAGTTCTTTTCCATTTTGACTTTGGGACACTGTTACCAAACCTTGTGGGAAATGTCAAGTTCCAAAAAGATGGAGGAAATAAGTAGTTACTGGGCCCAGAGTGAATGTTTGGTCCATATGAAAATAACCAGGAAGATGATTAGATAGGTGTTATTTAATGACTTGTGGTAAGTCGGTCTCTTCCCATAAAGCATATTCAAAGTTTTAACTTTTCTTTGCGAGGCTTCCATGTGCCGTGAGCATTTAATAATTTATTATTTAAATAAGAAAAATACCATCAGGCACTGCTTGAAAAGTTCATCTTTTACTTAAACATTTTTGTTATGTAATGTATGTCATACAAAAACATATCTAAAGATTACCATGATAAAAACCTACAAAGGTTAAGAAATAACATAGTTGAGGGATCTTTTATTTATGACCAAATTAATTTATT